ACGAGCGCGCCGTCCCCCGGGGACGCGCCGCCACGCTCTTCCTTAGGTCGTCCTCCGAGATATCGGTGCCGACCCGGCGGGCCGGGGGCGGGGTGGCGTCGGAGCAAGTGTCTCGGCCTTCGGTCGACGGAGCGGCGACCCGCGAGTACGCTTCGTGGGCGCCCGACGAGGGTGGTGCTGCTGTCGCTCTGCCGCGTGCGCAGGCGTGCGCAGGCGTGCCGAGGTCTCGCGACGGCACTCAGCCCTTCGCTGGGCGTGTGGGACGCCGGGTACGACGAGCACGGCTTCTGGTCCGTCGAGGCTGCCCGCGCGGCGCGCGACGCGGCGGCGGCGCTTGCGCTGGACGCCGCCGACGGCGGCGCAGGGGCGGCGCGGGGGCGGCAGGCGCGGGGGCGGCAGCCGGCCCAGCGGGTCGCGGCCCTCCGCCCCCGCGGCGTCGTTGGAGGGCGAGCACCTCGAGTACCTACGGCGGCGGGGTGCGCCGTGGGGCGAGCCGCCCGTCGCGGGCGCCGCCGCGCCGCCGGAAGGGGCGAGGCGGCGAGCGAGGATCGTCGACTTTTGGCCGGGGGGCGCTCTCGACACTTACCGGCTGAGGTCACGTCGTCGGGCGCGTCGACGGGCTGGTTGGCCATGGTCCGCACGGCGGGGCGGCTGCGCCGCCAGGACTCGCGCGTCGCTGCACGCGGCCTGCAGAAGGAATGACAGCTCGGCGGCAAGGCTTTTCTTGCGCCGGGACGGCTAGGCTTTTTGTGAGACGCCGCTCGCGGAAATCGAGGAAGGCTCGGACTTTTCTTTTCTTGGGAAACGGGAGTGTTGGTTTAGAAGAGGCTGGCCAGCGACTGGACACACCGGCATGGGGGGACGCAAGCAAGGACGGGGATTGGAGGTTGAAGAGAGATTTAACTTTTAAGCACAGCTCGAGGCGAAATAAAATTAGAAAGAAATGTACTCCCTCCCTCCCTCTCTCTCTCTCTCTCTCTCTCTCTCTCTCTCTCTCTCTCTCTCTCTCTCTCTCTCTCTCTCTCTCTCTCTCTCTCTCTCTAAACCGTCTCACTCAAAATCTCTCTCTTTCTATCTCGGCTCTCTCTCTCTCTCTCTCTCTCTCTCTCTCTCTCTCTCTCTCTCTCTCTCTCATGTCTCAAAATCTCTCTCTCAGAAGCGGAGCACACACGAAGATCGAAGTCGGCACAACAAAAATCCCCTTTGCAGCCAAGCCTACAGGGCACCTAATTTCAGAAGGTCGTATGAAGAGCGACTCTTATTTCTGTTTTCTTTCTCATCAACCTCGGTGTGAGCTCTCACTACTCGAGTATAGCTAGAGCTCACACTAGAGGCCGTCATCGCATTCGCCTTCCTGGGACCCAGCGCTGATTTCTGACTGTCGTTGCTGTTTCTCCCTTCTCGACTGTCTGTGCTTGTGCGTCTTGGGTCCGGGGTTGTGTTTTTTGCGTGAACAGCGCCTCTCTCTCAAAACTTTCGACCTCGGAGGTGTGCACCCCTGTCGTCCCCCCTCACCTCCAAGATGCTCACCAGCCTCGACGCCCTCGGCCAAAAGACGGCGCATCCGCCGTCATTCCTCTCAAGTGAGCTGCCCCGCGTCCGTGCTAGCTCGTAGCGCCAACTTACTACACAAACGGTCGCGACGCGGCGGCGCTAGCCCTCACTGATCGCAAGGCGGCGCTAGCTCTCACTGATCGCAACCCTCCCCGCCCACAACTGCCAGCCTCGGCGGCATCGCCGCCATCGTCGAGCGCGCCCTCGGGGACTACGACCAAGAGGTTGGGGAGTTCATCCGAGGGATTCTCCACCGCCCGCCCTCTTTCAAAGGCGCCCTCGAGGGGTGCGAGGGGCTGATCCAACGAGCACACCTCGAGCACCTCTCCTCCAAGGCGTGCCCGCGCGACGAGGGGCCGTCCGACGGCGGCGGCTCCGACGCCGAGGACGGCTACGACCAGTCCGGCAGCCAGCCTGACGACTCCGAGTCGGGCGACTGCGACACCGACAGCGCTCGCGACGACTCCACGAGCGAGCAGACCGGAGTCCCCCGGTGCCGCTTCTTCGCTGCCGGCTATTGCAGGCAGGGAGACCAGTGCCGCTTCGCGCACTGAGCCGCCCCATCCCCGAGCTCGGAGGGCGAGACCGAATAGGACCGTCACTCACTCAATTTGGGGATCCTTCACGCGCTGCGCTACGCTTCGGAGTCGCTCACCCCGGGATCGCTCCTTCCCTCGCTCCGGTGATTTGGGTAACTCTGAGCTCCCTCCGCGTACGCTACGCTCCCTTCGGAGAGAGCCCCAGAGTCTTACCGCGCTCCGGATCCTCTTTAGCCCATCTCTGAGAGTTAGAGTGACTGGCTAGAGACGACGACGACGATACAGTTCATGATAAACAAACTTCAGTTTGTGCTAGTGAACTGAGGAGAAGCGGGTCGAGCCTCGGCGCAGAGGGCAGCGCCTAGCGGGCGGGAACCCTTACCCCCGCGCCCGCCGCTGCCCGCCGCTTTGTGCGCGGGACCTCCGAGCGCCACGAGGCTCCTGACACAGCTCCCGACTAGCGTCGGCTCCTGCTCAGACAGACGCCAATCGACCAGTTCTCAAGCGACCCACCACCATCCCTCATCTACCGCCCGATCGAATCGCATTCGTCTCTTGCGAGTTCCTCTTGCTCCAAGAGGTTCCAGAGAACGGGGTAACTCTGAGCTCCCTCCGCGTACGCTACGCTCCCTTCGGAGAGAGCCCCAGAGTCTTACCGCGCTCCGGATCCTCTTTAGCCCATCTCTGAGAGTTAGAGTGACTGGCTAGAGACGACGACGACGATACAGTTCAATTGGCACCGGTCGCTGACCTCAAACGCGGTTCATCGATGTGGGCGCACGACAACAACCAGGAGCCCGCGTCACGCTGGCTGTGGCAGTCCGGCAGGGACGCCTGGACAGCATTCGCACCCAACCAGGCTTCTGCGCTCGAGCAGGCCTGGGCCACGGGAGGCGGAGTGGTGAGGATTGATGCCGAGCGGCAAGTTCGAGTCGACACCAGCGGAGTGCCGATGCGGCAAGAAAGGGTCGACAACCCGGGCCGGAGCCGTGCAGTGAAGCGCGAAAACGGCGGCGCTCAAGAGGGCAAGCGGCCACGCCTGACGCCGGCAGCGCCGAGCGCCACCGCCGACGCCGACGGCGGCAGCGGCGGCGGCGTCTCGCCGGCTGCCTCTGGCCCGCCCCTCGCCTGGCGCCTGAATCGGCTCGGCGAGCAGTGGTCCCGCGTCCTGCCGAGCAGTGTGAACACCGACTCAGTGAGCCTGGACGAGCTGCTCTCCGCTGGCGAGCTGGAGGGCGCGACGCAGCTGCACCTCCACAACTTTCTTTTCGACCTCGACTTCGTCTTCGAGACGTGCCCGGCCCTCGGCTCCTTTGTCGCTTCGGGCGGCCTCGTCAAGGTTTTCCACGGCGACGGCCGACCGCCTCGCAGCGTTGCGGCCACCACGATGCCCGCTGCAGTGGAGTGCTTTGAGCCGCCCACAGAGCAGTTTGGGACGATGCACTCAAAGTGCATCGTCGTGGTCCGCCCCTCGCGGCTCTCCGTGCACGTGGTCACGGCCAACTTCATCTTTTCGGTCGCACGGGTAGCCCCTAGCCACCTCCCCCCTCGCCATCTCCCACGCCGCCGCCACCGCCGCCGCCGCCGCCACCGCCGCCATCACCACCGCCCTCGGGTTGTTCTGACGAGGTGTCTTGGTATTGAGCCCTTCTGGCGACTACCCTGCAGGACTGGCACAACAAGACGAACGGGGTCTGGTCAGGCAGCTTCCCGCGGCTCGACGCCCCGCCGCCACGTCCGGCGGCAGGGACGTTCGGCCTCGACCTTCTCGAGTACTACGAGGCAGTGCGCGCGATCGGCGCCGACAAGCCGGGCAGCTGGTCGAGCTCGGACCAAGACGGCGCTCCGCCGCGCTGGCGGGCGCTCGACGTGAGGTGGTTGTCTCCTCTCCCTCTCCCTCTCCCTCTCCCTCTCCCTCTCCCTCTCCCTCTCCCTCTCCCTCTCCCTCTCCGACCCTCTCCTCGCGCTTCTCGCCCTCTCGCTTCCACTGGCTCGCTCCTCTTCAGCTGCCTCCTCTCCCGGCCCCCTCCCCCGTCTTACCACCACGTCGGCACCCTTTGCCCCCCCTCCCCCTCCCCTGCAGCTGGCTTTCGCTCTACGACTACAGCGGCGCGCGCGCGCGGCTGGTGGCGTCGGTGCCCGGCACGTCCGGAGCAACCGCCGGCAGGCACACTGGCGAGCACATCCAAAAGTGGGGCCACATGCGCGCGAGACGGCCGCCGCTCCGCCCGCCTGCCTTGGGCGCCCCGACCGGACACCCCTCGGGACCTTCCAAAACAGGCGCGTGAGGGGGCTGCTCGCCGCCGAGGGCCTCGCCGTCCCCCTCGACGACCCAGTCCTCGCGCTCCAGTTCTCGTCGCTCTCGTCGGTCGGAAAGAACGACACGTGCGCGCCACACAGCGTAGTTCAGCACTTGTCGCGGCGGCCACCGCCTTCGCAGCCGCGTCCGGCGTGTCCGTGTCGACGGGCCGGCCGACCGCTGCGAGCCCCCTGCGGCGGGCCCAACCCTGCAAAATGGGAGAGAGGGGAGATCTGGGGAGATTTCTGGGGAGAGATGGTGCAGCACACTGGCATGCACGACGAGCCTGCCGGAGGCCGGGCTTGTCTGTGCTAGTGCTCGAGTGCATAGCGGGCTCGTGTGCGGCCCGAGCCAGCATGCCATTCCAAGACACCGCCGCGCTGTCAGGTGGCTGCGCGAGCTCGTCGCGTCGCTCTGCGGCGGCTCCGCCGTGATGCCGCGCCTGCGCGTCGTCTACCCGACCCGGGCGCAGGTCGGCGCCTCGCTCGAGGGGTGGGTCGCGGGCGCGTCCATCCCCTGCCAAACGGCCAACGCCGCGAAGCTGCGGAGCGTGCTGCAACAGCTGTCGGGCGCCTCTGCGTTCGCGCGGCTCTGCGGCTGGGACGGCGGCCCGAGCGGGCGCGCCGCCGCCGTGCCCCACATCAAGAGCTACGCGCTGTACACCGACGAGGGGCGGCTCGGCTGGGCGATGCTGACCTCGAGCAACCTCTCGCAGGCGCGGCTCGAGCCGTGCCAGCAACCCACTCCGCACGCCCCGCCCCCTCCCGACCCCGCCGGCCTCGCCCGCGCCCAGGCCGCCTGGGGCAAGCTCGAGAAGGGCGGCACGCAGCTCTACATCAAGTCCTACGAGCTCGGCGTGCTCGTTCTGCCCTCCCTGCAGCCGGCAGGGCGGCAGTCCCTCGTCGCCACTTCGGCCGCGCCGCTGGTGGGCGAGGAGAGCGCGACCCTCGTGCCGCTGCCGTACACGCTCCCGCCGACGCCGTGCGGCCCGCCACGCCCCGCGCGCAGGCGTCGGGCCCTCGGGGCCCCTGAGCACACGCTCTGTCAACAGGTACGCCTCGAGCGACGACGCGTGGTCCACGGACGGCCACACCGCCCTCACCGGGTACCAACCCTCGCGTGACGCCCACGACCGCCACGGCTTCCACCCGGGCTTGAACCCGCCGCCTGTCCACATGTACGGCCTCAAAGCCACCGGCCGCGTGCTCGCGGAGCGCGAGGCGGCGCGCCGCTCGTGAATCCGCACGTGCATGTGCGGTGCGTACGGCTGTGTATACTCGATAGCGGTCACGCCATAGCTCGCGCATAGGAGCAGGAGGCTAGGCAGGGGCCGCATCGCGTTCGCTGAGCTGTAACAAGTTTGATCCAAAACAAGAACACAAGTTTGGCTCTACTAATATAGCGCGCGGATAAAGCGCGCGGATAAAGCGCGCGCGCCGCGGTGGCGGCGAAATATAATATTATCTCAGAGGAATATAGTGTGAATGCCCGGGAACAGCCCCTCCTGGCCCGAGTGCGGGGCGCGAGGGACAAATAAATTCAAAGGGCATGAAAGTCGTCGAGCTGCTTGATCAGGCCAGTAAAGATGGCCCGCGAGGCAGCCTTCGTGAGTAGGTCGGCGAGCATCACGACGCCGGGGAGGTGTTCGACAGAGATAACGCCACGGCTGACGAGATCGCGAAGAAACTCGGCGGCGCGCAAGATGTGCTTGGTCTTCTTGAAGGCAACGGGATCGAAGGCCATGCCGACGGCGGACTTGCTGTCGCAGTTGATGACGCTGGCGCCGTCGATGGAAAATCCAAGGTCGATCAGTAGCTCACGGATGAAAATCACCTCCTTGGCGGCTAGCATGGCGCCGAAGAACTCTGCCTCAGCACTAGACAGCGTGACGGATCGCTGCATTTTGGAGAACCAGTGGAAGAGACATCCGTAGAAGAAGAACATGCCACCGGAGCAAGAGTACTTCGTGGCCCAGTTTGAATCGACGTAGCTCTCAAGGTTGCGGTTGGAATTCGGCTGCATGACGAGGGCGCGGTCAGCTGTGTCGCGCACGTAGATAAGTACCCGGATGGCGGCTTTAAAATGCGACGGGCCAGGGTTCGTCATAAACCGAGCAAGCTGAGACGCGGAATAAGCAATGTCGACGCGCGTCATATTGGCAAGCCACAGTAGTCCGCCGACGATGGCCATGTAGGCGGTGCGGAATTCGGACATCTCGTCGTATTCAACAGATCCAACGGCGGGCTGATCGTCGGCGGACAGTTCGAGCCCCTCTTCCATAGGCGAGTCGTGCGGTTGCGTTCTTCCCAATTCTCAACTTTCTTGGTTCGTTTGCGCCAAGCGTCACGAGCCCGAGTCTCAGCGGTGATGGTTGCCTGATTGGTGACTGCCCCTTCCCTGCTGATGTTTGGCGCAGATATGACTGGTTCTTCTCCTGCGGGCGGTTCAGGCTTCGTTTCGGAACCATCGGCGATAGTGTAGGCGTCGGTAGCCTTCCACGCGACGTACCCGGTAAAGAGCATATACCAACCAACGAAAGAGTCACGCTGGCCATCAAAGGCAGGGGTGGTCTCCTGCGGGTCGGCAGCAACTGCGATGCTATTGGTTAGCATGTACACGATTTGCCAAATGGTAGCAAAGCCAATAAAGTAGTATAGGGCCTTGCGTGTCATGATCAAACCAAAATTGCACACGTAAATGACGATGTATTCACCACTACGATACTGCAGGCAACGGAGAGTGGCCCAAACGTGAAGGTGGAGAAGCCGAGCATAAATGGCGGCAAGAGCATCGTCGTACAAAGAAAACGCCAAATGGAGGTTACGACACATCCAGAATTTCCACGGCATAGACCTCTCGTTGGCATTGGGTCGAAGGGCGTTCCCGCACACCCATGGATTTTCTGCCATGCCATGGTAGGTGCAATGGAAGCACTCGACAAGTCCATGGAGGCATTGGGGGCAAAGCGAGGAGGGCAACGGCTTTCGGCGGCCAGTGTCGATCGGTTCGCAAACATCGGACAAAGGAGTTAGCTCGGCATAGTGCTCCCTCACGACTGGACTGACGAAGTTGAGAAACCTCCGAAGGAAGTCGCGATAGATGCTGACGCAAACGATTGCATACGGGCACCCAAAGGAGATGGTGGTGGTAATAGGTGTCCAAATGAAGCAAACAGTTTTGACAGTAGTGCTGGTGATGACCTCAAAGGCGACGAGGCATGCATACCTGGCGAAGTATAGGAGGGATCGCACGAAATCGTAGATTGCAAAGCCCCAAGCAACGAGCAGGATGATGCCGCATATCGCAAGTGCAGCTGGCGCAAGGCAAAAATACCAGTCAAAGACCCACTTGATTTGAATACCCAGGTTGATGATCAGTAGCTTGGTATTTGCACCATAGTGTCGCAATCCGTACCACGCTTTGACAATCATAAGGCTGCTCATGGTCTGGTAAGCAAACAGGTCGCCAATTGTCAGTGCACTTGTCAGCAGGGAGTACGCAAGGAAAAGGAACCCAACGAGAGCAAAGCAAAGAAAAAATGGCCAGATCATTCCCATCCATGTGGACTGTACCCGAGCGCAATTCTTGTTTGAGAACATATAGTTCCAATGGAGCTCGTATTTGACCCAATCGCGCTTGCCGCGTCGCCGAAAGTGATCAAGGCAAAGGGCTTTCGCAGCATCGGTGGTTCCATGGAGTGGCCAGATGATACCACATGTCCCATTGTTGAAGGGCACTACCTCTGTCCCACTGCTCAAGGTCTCATGGTGCAATGCCTCTCCTGCACTCGGCGTGTCCGAGTGGTCCCGGGGAAGGACTTTCTGCCAAGGTGTAGGGTCAAATGTAGCGTTCCACGGTGAAACATTTTGGAGGCAAAGGAAGCCGTTCCCGTCGCATTGACCCAGAAGAATGGGCAGCATTGAGTAATCCAGCAAAGGTGGCGGCGGCATGTGTGTCGCAGGCTTCCTATGGGGCTGGGTTGTCGCAGCAAGAGTCCCGTGCCTCGTGAATTGTAGCGCCATCGTATTGGGCCATGAGTGCACCTGTATCGCGGGGCTGCGGAGGGCCAAAAATTCAGATTGGCCGCAGTGGGTGGATAAGGCCTCAGGAGCCGACTGTAGCGCGTGCTCCATCGCCTGGGAGGTAGTGTGAGTGGAGGCACACATGTCCTCAAGGTGTTCTGACCCAAGTTGCCAATTTATCGATAAATCTTTGAGAAATGAATTGTCGATGCAAATGGCGGGCTCGAACGTGCTCGACGAGACCGACTGGACCCATTGTTCAGATCCTTCGGCTCGATTGGGGTTGTGCTCGCACACGCCAGGCGCCCAGGTGGTGGCTGACATACATGGTGCAAGGCTTGTCCATGGTGGAGGTGCCATGGTGGTCGACGCTGTCATGTCGCTGGTGGTGTCGGCCTCGGCGATGCAGTAGTCGAGGCCGTTCTTCCCGGTAGAGAAGTCATACTCGATAGCGGTCACGCCATAGCTCGCGCATAGGAGCAGGAGGCTAGGCAGGGGCCGCATCGCGTTCGCTGAGCTGTAACAAGTTTGATCCAAAACAAGAACACAAGTTTGGCTCTACTAATATAGCGCGCGGATAAAGCGCGCGGATAAAGCGCGCGCGCCGCGGTGGCGGCGAAATATAATATTATCTCAGAGGAATATAGTGTGAATGCCCGGGAACAGTGTACTCCTGCGAAGGAGCAAGGTGAAAGCGGTCCGAGCGAGGCAGTACGTACGCGGCGAGAGAGGAGGGGGTCCGAATACAGCATCTCGTCTTTTGTACGTGCGTGGCATTGGCTTTGTTGAGTTTGGGAAAGTTTTTGGGACTGTTGTGTTCCCCCTCTTCTGTGTTCTGAGGGCGATCGAGTTCTTTTTAATTTTACGTTGCGTGGCGCGACCTGAATTCTTTTTTGTTAGTCGGCCACGCTGCCAGAGTGCACAGAGAGCAGCATCCAATGGACGCGCCACGGCCCCAGTCCGCCCGTTCTTTCCATCCTGCCGGCTAAAAGCGCTCCGTGCTTGGGCGTACCTCACATGACGGGGTAGGTAGGGTAGCGGTAGCGGTCTCTGCACTCTGCTCTCTGGGGGTCTGGGCCCTTCCCGGTCGGGGTTATCCCTCTCAGCTCTCTTCAAGCTGAATTTTCACAGCCCGGTGGTGGATGACACTAACTAGCTGGATGGACGAGCTACTTGTACTTAGTAGAGCATGTGGTGCTAAACTACACCCACACGACATTCAGGGATTCCTGTCCGCTGCGCGCGCGTTCGGGGTGCGGGGAGACTAGGGGGTTGTGTCAGAGGGGGGGGGGGTGTGAGGCAAGCGGGCCCAGATCTGCTCGTCTCAGAGGGTACCCTCTGTGCCAAGAGAGGCCATCCACGAGCGGCTCAGAGGGTGCCTGGGCCGACCCTCTGAAGGCCTGTGCCGCCAAGCCAGCCTCTCTCGGCGCAGCCTCTGAGGCTACGGGGACCCTCTGAGACGCCAAGGCAAGCCCCGCGAGGCCGCTCCTCAGACGAGAGGGGTTTTCAGGCATTTCAAGTCTCTCTCCCACAACCACAGAAAAAGAATTTCTGCGAGAGTTGACGGAACTGTCTCTCCAGCTACTCTGCGCGAGGCGCCCCAGCTGTGGCGAGGCACCCAAGATGCGCATCAGAGTCCGGGTCAACGACATTGTCGGGCGGCCGCTCCAAGCACATCCTCAAGTTGACGGGGCCGGGCCGTGTGCGAAGCTGGTTCACGCGCAGGGCACGGCGCAGGCGCTGTGGGCGAGCCTGCAGCAGTAAGCGCGAGCGTATAGAGTAGCGCCTTAGTGCTTAGTCATGGATGGTCGTGTGAAAAGTCGTAATGTTTTACTACCCCGCCCCTCCCCGCCCTCACTGGTCAGCGCCGTTCGTGGAGGGCTAGGCAGCTCCGCCTCCGCCCGGGGCTCTCGCCTCTGCCGTGAGGGGGGGCCACCCTCTGAGGTCAAAGCTGCCCTCTGTGCCGCGCCAAGACGGACCATCAGCCAGGGTGGACCCTCTGAGGCCAAAAGCAGCCAAGAGAGGCCATAGAGGCGGCACAGAGTCAGAGTCAAACCCTCTGTGCCGCCAAGGCAGGGGTCCGACCCCGGGGAGCAGGAGCCGTCACCAATTTCTTGTGGCAAAGCGACATGAAGGCGCAAGCGGCACGATCCCGGCCTTCCCCGCCCATCGCGCCGACCGCCCCCTTGCCGCACCCCGCAGCTGCTCACGCACAACATGCTGATGGCGCCCGGCACCAAGAACGGGTTCCCGCTCGCCATCGAGGTGGAGAAGATGGAGACGGTCGAGTCGGAGTTCCGCTCCGAGTTCACCGCACGGATGGTGCAAAAGGT